TCTCTGTGTCTGTCTGTACCTACATCTGTCTCTGTCTCTCTGTCTGCACCCACATCTGTCTCTGTGTCTGTCTGTACCTACATCTGTCTCTCTGTCTGCACCCACATCTCTCTATGTGCCTATCTGTACCCACATCTGTCCCTGCCCCCACCCTTCTCCCTCTCTCCATCCTCACTCAGTACATACATGGAGTTGTGTCCTCCGGAAGGACGTTGTAGGGAAAGACCAACAATAATGTCTTTAAGGCCATCGGGAACGGGTCCCCAAGATGTTAGAGAAGACACAAATGGGGCACGTCACCTCTGTCCCTGTGGATGCAGCCTGCTTCACAAACAGGGTTTTTCTCCCTTCACCAGCTGATCTAAAAGACATCACACTGCAGAGGGGTGGACCTCCTCCTAATCCCCTCCGAGTGGGGTCTTAGGAACAAGGAAGAGCATGCCGTGGTGGTTCAGTATATGGGGTGGGGGGAGGGCGTCACACAGCTAATAACAATCACCCCGTAATCACCCTTCAAGTGAGAACTGAACCCCCCTCGTGGTTTAACGGTCACTCAGGCGATGTGTCTGTCATAGAGTGGTCAGTCGCTGGAGATGAAAAGGGCAGTGTGGACCCCAGGACAAGGTTCAGAAGGGCTGGGGAAGAAGGAGGGATGGACACCGGAAACACAGGCAGGAAGTGGGGTGAATGATGTTAGCATGGAGGGGTTGTAACCAAGTGTAGGATTTGCTGAGTGAGAGACTGAGGCTCTGCTTTGTAAACCTTCACTCAGTTCACAATAAAACATTAGACAAAAAAATAAAAGCATGTGTGTGAGAGAGAGAGAGACAAGAAGAGACGGGTCAGGCTCACACGTCAGACAAGTACCAACTGAAAATGCACCCACGAGCCCGCGTTCCTCAGGGGTCTGCAGGCATCACTGGAGAACAGGCAGGGAGCAGGGGACACACGTGTCCCCTGAGCAGGTTGTCTTGAACACAGACTCCTGCCTTCCAGACCTGGTGCGCATGTGCCGTGGAGTCGGTTCTGACTCACAGCGACCCTGCACAGGGTTTCCAAGGCTAAAAATCTTTACGGGAGCAGAACGCTTCATCTTTCTCCTGTGGAGCAGCTGGTAGTTTCGAACTGCTGACCTTGAAACCGTGTTCACAGCACGCCTTGTAACCCCTATGCTGCAAGAAATCTGGCCTCCAGACTGAAGAGACAATAAATGTTCCTGTTGAAGGCCGTCACCTCATTCGGTACCGTGATGGAGCCTCAGGCAGCCTGCGGTCCGGAGGCAGCTCCTACATCACACGGGGGGCTCTCGTTGTAGACACATCAGAAAATGCTCAAAACAATTTTTTTTTCCACTCAAGGAGGAGTAAGATTATTGTCACAGCAAAGGAAATAAGGAAGGGTGTTCGTTGTTATTGTCAGTTTGTGTAGATTCCATCCTGAATCACAGCAACCCTGTGTGTGT